CTGATCCACGTCTATATGTTTGTGTTGGTGCCAGAAGGCTTGAGATTTACATGGGCTGCTCTCCTGTAGTAAGTAAGCAGCCCAGTACCGTATGCAGCGTGTGTATGTCAGCCTCCCTAGCGAGGTCATCTTGTCTTGGACACCTCATATTCTTCCCATCCGTCTTCTCATCAACTAATGTTCAAGATTAGTTTTTGTGTAAGCGTCTAATAAATCATTTCTGGGTGGGAAGAGGACCCCAAAGAAAGGCACATCTCCCCCATTGAAGACTATCTTTTTTTAATCTAGTGTTAAATCACATGTGTTGGACGTACAGCTGACTGAACCACAGTTCCAACTCTGTAACTCTGAAAGAATCACAGTTTGGTTATATTTAGCTCAAGATTGTTAGTTCTCAAAAAAGCACCCAGAGGTAAATCCTTCAATTAATTCTATCAATAAGTAGTCCTGTAAAGGGAATTTACTCTGAAGGTCTAGGTACAACAAAGAAAGCATGGAAGACATCTGTAGTGTACCTCTGTTTTACTGCTTTTTAGAACATTTTACCACATTGACTTTTCCTGAAAATCCAACAAATAGAACATTTTGGTCACTTAGCTAACTAGAGGATTTTATAAGGTGCACAGGTTACTTGGAGATAATCATAAGCAGGAGCAGGAATATAGTTGTTCTCCATGTAACGGAGCCTTGATTCTTTAATTACTGTATTTTATCACATTTAAGATGCCATTGAGTGTGAGCTACACATTTATTTCATGTACAACTCATAAAGGAAAATTCCTATTGAATATTTTAGGATAAATCTGTTTCAAAGACATTAAATGTGATTAAAATTATATTTAGGGTGCACTACAGCATTTTCCATATCTGGTATGGTGGCCTGTGAGTTTATGAGTGATATATTGGCATTATTATTACTTTCTGACTATCAGGACCCTTTAAATAGCAGCCCTCAGGCCCTTGGAACCCTCCATGGCAGACATCACTAATCGCTGCCTGCACTGTTTATTCCCTAGGAAGCCGATGTAGGGCCTCAGGCCCCTCGGTACGAAGTGACCATCACTCGGGTCAGCTGGCATATACTGACTGATTTGTCTGCCCAGATTGAGACCTTCAAATTTCAAATGTTTGGTTGGATCTCTTGAACGTTTAGAAGATGATAGCATTTTTTTTTCCAAGCCCCCCATGCTTGTTGCTGTTTTTTGTTTTTTGATGGCAAAGAGTGAATCTCTTTTTAGAGTTTACCCAGCTCCTTCCCCACTGTTCATTTTCCCCAACCCACCTGCCTGTTGTCTCCTTCAAAGGCCCTGCTTTTGATAGTGGGAACTAGTTCAGCAGGTCCTGGTCTGCACATCTTGGAATGCAGTGCTTGACCGGATCGTGTACGATTTGGAGAGGGAAGGTCCATTTTGTCTGTAACATAGGGCTTTTATGACGCGCAACCACAGGTTTGATATTATCTTTGAATGCTTGGGGACATTGCAGTAAGGGCTTCTCACCCTTTCCACCTGTTTGAAAAATGGAGGTGGAAGAAATAGTTCTTAATAGAATGTTCCAGATCCGGGGGATTGCAGGAACTTGGCAGCACAGGAGGAAGGCAAGCCTTGGCTAGGAGACAGTAGAGGGAGAGGTGAGTAGAGAGTCATATGTTAAACGCCTCCCCTGCCCCTCCCCCAGCAAAGGGGGGGAGGTCGTTGCCCTCCCGGCCAGTTCTTGCCCTGCAGGAGGGTGAGCCTATTATTTCCATTTCTTGTGATTTTTTTTCCCTTTTAAATTGAAAATCAGTTTATTAAATAATCTAACACTGGTATGAATAGAAAGCAGCCTGCCTCTCTGCTGACCGTTGAGGAAACATTAAGAAACATGGACATGGGCTTGGTTGTGTCGGTCAGATTTTGACTTGGACACCAGCCCTTTGCTAACGAATAACCAACCCATCTGAAAACAGGGCACGCTGATTAGTGCTTTACTCTCCCACCCTTTCACACGGCTGCCACCCAGTGCTGGGGCTGCTGCGACTGCGGCACTCACTTCATCCCACGGACCTGGAAGTGGGAAGAAGGGCCTTGTTTCTTCTTTTTAACTTCCTGTTCTTATCAGGGGTGTTTTTTCCACCCTGGCTGCCAAAGTTGGTTCCAGTTTCTAGCTTATGCCTCAGTGAGAATGAGCTGGACAAACCCCGATTTCTTCTCTTTGTTCTCCTAGCCCAAGGGGTGGTGGCTGCTTCCCGAAGTTACTCCCTATCTATAATCCTCAGTGTGCCCTTTGTCCTAGCACCTCTCCAATTCTTATTTAACCAGATTCCCTCCATTACATTGTCCCCGTATTAATGTCTAGGGAAGTTTCTCTTTTTCTGAATGAATCTTGACTGACAACCTGTGATATTTGAGATCTGTTAATAACCCCATGATGATATTTGCTTAAATGCACACTTCACACTTTTTGATTGGCCATTCCTTCTAAATTTTTATCTTAGGGATAATTGGGATCTGTTCATTTGCTTCCGTTTGTTGGCAACTGTATTAGTTTCCTAGGGTTGCGACAGCAAAAGATCCCCAGCTGGGTGACTTAAAACAATAGGAATTTATCATCTCCCAGATCTAAAAGCTAGAAGCCCAAAATGAGGGCGTCTGTAGGAACATCTCCTTCTGAAGGTTCTAGGGAAGGACTCTTTCCTTACCTTTTCCTAGTTTCTGGCGATTGCCAGCAGCCCCCAGTTTCTGCCTGTCTTCCTTTCATGTCTCTGTCTCCATTTGACCTTACGTGGATAGGTTGGTGGGTTAGTGCTCACCCTAGTCCATGATGACCTCATCTTAATATCTGCAAAGACCTTACTTCCAACTAAGGCCACATTCTGAGGTTTCATATGCACCTGAATTTGGTGGTGAAATGGGCAATATTAAACCCAGTACAGTTACCTAGCGCCTTGAGAGACACGGTTATGTCTGTAGACGTGAGCCAATTTAAAATGTATAGATGATTGTTCATATTACAAGCCAGTGGCTATGTCCTTAGCCCCCACTTAGTTTAAAACGTAGTGACACTTGGGATAGGATTGTAAAGATGGCGCAGAAAGACGGTACGAAGCTGTCCTTCACTTTCAGCATCATGAGGGAAGTAGATTCTGAGCTGGGTTTTTGAACTTCAGGGTGAATTTGGAGGAGAAGGCATTCCAGGCATTGGATAGCCTGTAAATCATGCAGGTCCACCCAAGTGCCCTGCGTGATCAGCTCAGTGGGTCCTTGGGCCTCACAGGCACTGGAGCAGAGTGTGCAGTGAGCGGTTAGCTACAGCTGTGGGTGGTGCAGGCAAGGTGCATTGTGGGGGGCGGCTCCCCTGCCATCCCAAGAGGATTAAACTTTGTAAATAGGGGCCTCAGTTTTATTTTGGGGAGAGGGAGAGCGTTAAATGACTGAATGAATTCCAGCTTTGTAGCTGGAACTGTAATCATAAAAATAAGCTTGATCATAGATTGTTTGACTCCATAGGTGATGGGTGCCCTGGGGGAGAGGGAGTGGAGGAGAAGGTGACTGCTTTCTGGGCACAGTAGTGTGAGGACGGTAAAAGCGCAGCGGAGCCAGTGGTGGAGATTACACAGCATTGACTGAGCTAGGTCTCACTAATGGCAGCTTTTATGTTAGGTATCTTGCCACAATTTAAAAACAAAATAAAGCAGGAAGTGTGAATGGGCCTAGGTACACGATCCTGCTTGTCTGATGGCAGCTAAGTGGGATGGAGGGAAAGGAGGGTTGCGTTTTTGTTGGCGGCGTTTCCCGAGAACCGTTCATAGTAACCTGTGTCAGGTGCCGTGGGCAGCCCCTTCGAGGCCTCCCGCTGCGTTTTCCCCACAGTCCCCCTTTACCAAGGTTGGAGGCCAGGAGCTATTCCACGGCCTTTCAATGAGGAGGAAGCGGAGCCAGGATTTGAACCTGGCTACCTGCCTCCTAGGTTGACCGTCAGCCTGTTTCCCCAGTACTGTCCCAGTTTTAGATGTGTTCTATATTCCGGAAAGTCCTCGGTCCAGGGTGCACGGATGGTGGGTCACCTGTAATCATTTCCTGAGGCCAAACACTTTTTTAAAAAATTTATTTACTTATTTTTTTTTAGATTTGGGGGAGGGAGAGAAAAGAAAGACATTGATGTGAGCATGTGCCCTGACTGGGAATGAACCAGCGAGACAGTGCCCGACCCCCTGGTCTGGAACACCTGCTCTAAAACTATTGCATCCTCAGCAGTCAGTTTGGAATCCCTGATTTAATACCTCAGTATCTCAAAGAAATCCTTATGGCTTTTGAAGACATGTCATGTAATATTAATGAAAACACGAGGCCTTCTGTCTGGATTAATTTTTTATGAACAATAATACGTCTGATTAAACTGGCTGATTTACTAGAGCTGGTGGTACAGGATGGGGCGTGTGGTGGGTGTAGACGGTCCCTGACCGCAGGGCACAGTTTCTTAGGTGACCAGTATTCCCAGTATGCACTCGGCGTCGGCTCCGGCTGGAAGTGACCTGACAGGAAGGTGATGGATGACCGCTGGGCTGCAGCCTGTTGTGTGCTCTCCCCCAGGGATGTGCCCAGCCTTCGGGGTTTCCCCCTCGCAGGGAGTGAGGCTGGAAAGTCTGTGGGAAGTTGGTCGTGTGCCGGGGGAAGCACGTTTCTCATCTGATCCTCATCCCCCGTTCTCAGCTGTGACCCAGCTACAGTGGTTTCACTGTGTCAGAGTATCTCTTAATAGTCCTGACATTCACTGCGTAGGTGCCATTTCTCATACAAAGAAATCCGGCGCTTGCCAGCACCTCCTTCAGTTACATGTCAGACAGATGCCATTCTCTCCCTAAGTGCCTGCTTTCTTTCCAAGGAAGTAAATCAAGCAGGCTGGGCGCCCAGGGTGTTCGCTTTTCAGGTCTGGGCGGGGAGAGGGGGACAATCCTAAATGCTTCGTCTCAGGCTAGTGAAGGTCCTTCTAATGCCATGCGATTGTTTTTTGTTTCCCAGCTGAGCATCGAGCAGGCCCAGACGGTGGCAGAACAGGTGGAGATGAAGGCCAAGGTGGTGCAGTCAGAGGTCAAAGCCGTGACTGCGAGGCATAAGAAGGCCCTGGAGGAGCGGGAGTGCGAGCTGCTGTGGAAGGTAACGGAGGGTGCGGGCCCGGCCCCGGCCCCAGTCGGGGCCTCCTCCGCCCGCCAGCATTTCTTCCTCGGACATGCGGCAGGCCCTGGGCCCCGACTCTAATTTTAGAATACTTGGTACCTTTCCAGAGTTCCGTTGGCAGAAAAATTGAGGGGTCCCTGGAACCCTTGTGGGTGCTCTCCAGGCAGTAAAACAACAAGAAGCCTTTTCAGAAGTAGTCGGGTACCAAGACTGGAAGGAGGCCCAAGTTTTCTATCGCACACATGCTCAAAAGGAAGCAGAAAGAGAGCACAATCGCAGCCGTTGTTATGAAAGCAGGCTGGTAGGAAACATCCTTATTTTTGGTGTCCTGGCTGGTCGCACTTCCTGAACCCTGGTGGAAAGGCAGTTTTCCACGAGCGAGGGCACTGAGTGTGTGCCCTTTCTTCCTGTTGGAGCAGGAAAGAGTGCTGAGCACACTGGTGTGCTGTTTAGATAAAAATCAGCTGGGAACATGGCTCTCCCCACCCCACTCACCATCCCAGCCTTTTCTTCTCTGATCCTCTATCTCCCTTCAGAGGGAAGAGGGTGCTGTGCCTGTGCGCGGGCCAGTTCCAGGATCATTACATTCTCAGAACACCAAGGAAGGCCCCGTACGCAGCTGATGTAGAAGGATGCACTGAGGTCACGCATGCTTGTTTCCATCATCCAGCCTGTGCAAAGGTGGATGTGGCGGCTCGATTTGTGAAGGTGACCCATACCGATGAAAATGGTCTCCGGGAGGCTACCTTGGATTTTGCATTTCCCACTTAGTTAGCTTCCTGCTGCTTCTGACCTCCAAAACTATGGCCTGGTTGGTCTTTGACAAGAAGAGAAAGACTCCGTTGGTGGAAAAAAGTCCAAGGTTTAATTCGGCACCTACTTTAGTCAGGCACCTTTGTGTCCCCGACATGGTGTTCAGGCACTGCGATGTCCCCATGGTCTGTCAGCCTCATGCCACCCACGAATGTTAATTATAACTGAAAGGGGCCCACTTCTTGCAACCTGAGAGCTCTGCGGTGAGCTCGGCCACAAACTTGCTCTTCTGGATTTGCTGATGAAAAGGCCTTTGTGTGTTTCTGCCGATCTCCCCTCAGTCATCCGCCCTCCTGTGAGGCTGACTCACGTCCTCTTCTACAGGCGGTCCTCTGAATGGAGAGCATGTTTTTACTCTGGGAGACAGCACATTTGGAAAAAGGGTCAATTTCTTGGTGCAGTAAACTTTGTTTCTACTTGCCTAAAAACTCATTCTCAGGTTCCTCCAAAATGGGCTTGCTCCTTCTGGACACACCTCAGTCCCATTTATCTTGGTGTTTTGCTGTGGTACCTTGCCCCCAGTCATGGGGGAGTCCCCCCTCTCTTTTATTACTTACTAATTTTTCTGCCTCCATCCAGCAGAGTTTTTCCTGCTTGTCTCTACCTGGGCAACTCTTTGTTACAATGTTTTGTGGAGTTTGGTTGTTTTTTTTGCAAAACATTGTTGAGTGCCAGGGAACCGCTTTTATGTATCTGGATATAACTTTCTTTCTTTTTCTTTTAACTCATCAAATCATACGCTTATTTATTTTAGATTTTGTTTATTTTTAGAGGGAAAGACAAGGAGAGGAACATCAATGTGTCAGAAAGACATAAATTGGTTGCCTCTCACTCGCCCCCAGTGGGTGACCCAGTCTGCAATGCAGGCATGTGCCCTGGCTGGGAATCGAACCACCAGCGAGCGACCTTTCGGTTTACAGGCTGGCACTCAGTCCACTGAGCCACACCAGTCAAGGCACCTTTCATTCTTGTGGCTTATAAACTTGCAGTGGACTTGGCTTCCTGTTGGTTAGCTACAACCACCTTCTTAGCTCTGAGGGGTCAGAGGCAAAGCCTGGAGTTTGGTGCAGTGCAAGACTAAAGGACAAAGCCTCTGTTTGCTCTGTCCCCCAAGGCCCTCTCTGCACATGCGTGCCCTACTTCCAGACTGGACAGACAAAAAAAGCATATGAATGGGTCAAAAATCACACCAGTACTTCCCTAGGGAAAATCCGATTAAAATCCAGGCCTCCCAGCAGTGAACTGTTATTCTGAAATGGGCTTTCTGTAGCTTTCAGATCAATAGCACACTCAGAATCTACAATCCTGCACAACAGTACGATACAGCTGGGTGACCTGTGTATTCCCTTCATAGAAGAAACCGCTTAAAATCAGAGGACTTTTAATTACTTAATGCAAAGGAATGAAGAGATGACGCTGTTTCATTGGTCAGACGAAATCACATTCCCAGATACTGTGGTTTGAGAATCTCGAATCTCACAGGCAGGCATTATTACAGCAGTTCAGAATCAGTGTTTGATACAGCATTTTAGATTAGAGGGCCCCTTTCTCCAGATTTGCTGTGTTTGGCCATTTGGGCTCCCTGTTGAAAGTTTCTAAAACCTGATCTTGAGAGATCAGGAGAGGAGAAAAGGGGAGGTGTAATTTGAATTAGGTCCTCACCAAATCCATTTTCTCTTTCTCTCTGCATAGTCTTATTCACGCGCGCGCGTGGATGTGTGTGTATGGGTGGGGGGTTATCTTTCAAGACATTTCAGTCTCTGGTATCCTTTCTGCCCCTTTTCTCTCCACTTTCACAATCACCTCTGTTGCCTAAGGTGCCGTTACCCCTCACCTGGGCGATTGCTGGTCTCTCCTTCCTCATTGGCCTCCCCAGCGCATGGTCTGCATAATTTATATAGGAACAGAAATCTGCCCTGGCTGGTGTGGCTCAGTGGATTAAGTGCCAGCCTGCAAACCAAAAGGTCGCTGGTTCGATTCCCAGACAGGGTACGTGCCTGGGTTACGGGCCAGGTCCCCAGTTGGGGGCATGCGAGAGGCAACCGATTAGTGAATCTCTCTCTCTCTCTCTCTCTCTCTCTCTCTCTCTCCTCCCTCCCTCCCCCCCCAAGAGTAAATAAAATATTTTTAAAATATAAAAAAGAACATAAATTTCACATCGCCCTCTGTAAAACTATAATTTATCTTCCAGCAAGTGCCCACCTCCAGGGTCTTTGAACTTGCTCTTTCCCCTGCTGGGATCACTCTAAACCCCGCTTCCCTAGACTCTGTCTTGCACGTACCTGTCCCATTTCTGCTCTCTTCACACCCAGCGCCACTTGTCTTGCGGTGTTTCCCTGTGCGCTGGCTTAAAATGTAGCCTCCACGAAGGCAAGAACCACGTTTCCTCTTGGTCCCTGGGTACCTCCAGTGCCTGGCCCAAAGTAGGTGCTCAGTAAATAGTTAGTAAATGTCTGTTCTTAACTTTCATTTTTATTTAATTCCTAACAGCGAAAAAGTTGCAGATACTACTAATAAAAGAATTCCATATATCCTTTACCCAGATTCACCAGTTATTTATGTTTTGCCCTATTTTCTAAATTCCTAACTGTTTATTTCTTCTGGGCAAGGACATTCTCTTAGCTAATCACATAATTAAAATCAAGAGGTTTGATTGGATTCTATACTAGTATAGAATCTACGGTCAGTAGTCAGATTTCACCAATAGTATTTTTTGTAGCCCTGTTCCCCCAATACAGGATCACTTGTCGCAGTTAGCTGTTATGTCTCTTTAGTCATCTCCTGTGTCTGGAACAGTTCCTTGGCCTTCTCCCCCGCCCCCGCCGCCCCTGCCCCCCTTCACTTTGGACCTTGCCGCGTGTGAAAGCGTGCAGACCAGTTGTTTCTGGGGATTGCCCCTCAGCTCAGGTTTGCCTGCAGCTCCCCCCGCCTCGTGTCAAGGTGTGTGTTTTCTGTGCTCAGTTCTAAGCCTCTGTGTCCTCTCTCCCTCTTCTCACCTTGTCCTGCAGGTAGAGAAGATCCGCCAGGTGAAGGCCAAGTCTCTGTACCTGCAGGTGGAGAAGCTGCGGCAGAACCTCAACAAGCTCGAGAGCACCATCAGCGCCGTGCAGCAGGTCCTGGAGGAGGGGAGGGCACTAGATGTCCTGCTGGCCCGAGACCGCATGCTGGCCCAGGTGCAGGAGCTGAAGACCTTGCGCAGCCTCCTGCAGCCCCAGGAGGACGACCGGATCATGTTCACGCCCCCTGACCAGGCACTGTACCTTGCTGTCAAGTCCTTCGGCTTCGTCAGCAGCGGGGCCTTCGCACCACTCACCAAGGCCACCGGTGATGGCCTCAAGCGGGCCCTCCAGGGTAAAGTGGCCAGCTTCACTGTCATTGGCTACGACCACGACGGGGAGCCTCGTCTCTCGGGAGGCGACCTAATGTCGGCTGTGGTCCTGGGCCCTGATGGCAACCTGTTTGGGGCAGAAGTGAGTGATCAGCAGAATGGGACTTACGTGGTGAGCTACCGGCCCCAGCTGGAGGGCGAGCACCTGGTCTCGGTCACCTTGTGCAACCAGCACATCGAGAACAGCCCCTTCAAGGTTGTGGTCAAGTCAGGCCGCAGCTACGTGGGCATCGGGCTGCCCGGTCTGAGCTTTGGCAGCGAGGGTGACAGTGACGGCAAACTCTGCCGCCCTTGGGGCGTGAGTGTGGACAAGGAGGGCTACATCGTCGTCGCCGACCGCAGCAACAACCGCATCCAGGTGTTCAAGCCCTGCGGCACCTTCCATCACAAATTTGGCACCCTGGGCTCCCGACCCGGGCAGTTCGACCGGCCAGCCGGGGTGGCCTGTGATGCCTCCCGCAGGATCGTGGTGGCTGACAAGGACAATCATCGAATCCAGATCTTCACCTTCGAGGGCCAGTTCCTCCTCAAGTTTGGCGAGAAGGGAACCAAGAATGGGCAGTTCAACTACCCTTGGGATGTGGCAGTGAATCCGGAGGGCAAGATCCTGGTCTCTGACACTCGGAACCACCGGATCCAGCTGTTCGGGCCTGATGGAGTCTTCCTGAATAAGTACGGCTTCGAGGGGGCTCTCTGGAAGCACTTTGACTCCCCTCGGGGTGTGGCCTTCAACCACGAAGGCCACTTGGTAGTCACTGATTTCAACAACCACCGGCTCCTGGTCATTCACCCCGATTGCCAGTCGGCGCGCTTCCTGGGCTCAGAGGGCACCGGCAATGGGCAGTTCCTGCGCCCGCAGGGCGTGGCCGTGGACCAGGAGGGGCGCATCATTGTGGCCGATTCCAGGAACCACCGGGTACAGATGTTCGAGTCCAACGGCAGCTTCCTGTGCAAGTTTGGCGCTCAGGGCAGTGGCTTTGGGCAGATGGACCGCCCTTCCGGCATCGCTGTCACCCCCGATGGGATGATCGTCGTGGTCGACTTTGGCAACAATCGAATCCTCATCTTCTAATCACATTTTCTAGGCTTCTGTGTTTGGGGTGTGCATGTCTCTCTCTCTCTCTCTTTCTCTCTCTCTCTCTTTCTTTCTCTCTCTCTCCCCCCTTTTGAATTTCAAAGAAGAAACAGTCTCAGGGAAATTTCTTTTTTTCTTTTGTTTAAAGAGAACAAGAAAAGTACAGCATTGCCTAAGTCCTACCTCATCTTTATTTTTTTACAGATGAATGTACTTATCTTTTCTGCAGGGATTGAGCCTGTGAAGTGATAATTTCTATCTACCTCATAAATCTTCACATTTCCTTCTCCAGCAGGTCCTCTGCCCGCCTCGCACCCTCACTCAGTGGAGTTCACGTTTCCCTCTTCCCTCCGTGGGACGTGACATGCACAAGCCTCGCGCCTCTGCGACTGGGAGGGCACTGGGTATGTGTGGTGGGCTAGTATTCTGTAGATTGAGCCAAGGAAACACGAAAAAAAACTACTAAGAAAAAAAAAACAAAAAAAGTATAAAACAGAAAAATAGGATTTTAAATGCTTTAATTATAGATTATTTGTGTTCTCGAGAATACTGTGTTTATGGGGTTAGATTGCATTTTGTGATCTTGATCTTTTTGAAAAAAATCTTTTTTTTTTTTTTTTTTTTTTTTTTTTAATGCTGCAACAGAGAACGTTCCTATGTTCTCCTTTTATACCTCAGTGTGTTTATCATCCTGTTCAGCATCTTTTCTTGTTCCTAGAAGAAGCGGCTGTGGCTTGCTAGCCAAGAAAAGCAGACTGTTCCTGTTTTATGTACTTTGTTTCTTTTAAGGTAGGGGCGTGTGTGTGAAGCCATCTTACACCAGGTTAGTGAAGCTGAAGGTGATACACCTCCTCCCAAAGAACCTTTCTTTTCATACTTTAGTTTCTAAAAATAATAAATGTAGTTCAGGGTTGTTTTTTTTTTGTTTTTGTTTTTTTAATAGCATTCTCAAAAGTTAAGTTGCTGTTGGTTATCAAGAGTGAAGCAGAAGAAAGAACAAAGTGAACCTCATTCTCAGAAAGAGGGCCTCCGGACGTGGCCTGGTGGGCGGACATGGGCGTGCTCAGGTAGTCAGTTGGGAGCACGAGAAAGGAGCAAGTCACCTCCAGGCTCTTCCGGACTCTGCAGGAGGGCGGGGGTCGATCCCCGACCCTCGATTTTATGTTGTTCTGTTCCTGGAGGCATTTCTTTTCTTCAGAAGAGTAGGCAAAGGAATGAACTTTTATTTTTAAAAGCACAATTTTTTTCCTGTTTTGGAAGTTCAGGGAAATAGAACGTTTGACAGTCAAATGAATAGAACAGCCCGTCCCTGCCTCCGTCGCTGCGGGGCCTGCTCTGCAGCCATGCCGCGGGGTCCCGTGGTTAACGTGACCCCCCGCCCCCCAAAGGCCTTTGAATGTAAAGGATTTGCAAACTCAGTTGCCACCAACTGGAAATGTAGAACATAATGAATATCTTCTGTTAAACCTGTATCTCGGTACCAAAGAATGAGCATTTAAGCCAGGCCCCCGCTACAGAACTGTGGGATGGCGTCTGTCACTTTACAGGGTCGGTTTGTTGGAACCTGGACTTGGGTACAAAGCCTTCTGCTTCTGGGCCCTGTCTGTCTTTTAAGGGAAAATTAAGTGGAGGTAATACGTTGCCTGTCAGAACCCATGTGGGTCCTTGCACGGCCCGCAAATACTGAAATAAGAGCCAAATTCTAGAGTCGCACAGCCCAGGACAAAGGTTCTCAGAAGGTGGGGGCTAATAGGAACAGCTCTTGTTTGAACAGAAAGTCTAACAGATTGCATTTGGTTCCCGTATTTCAAAGAAATTCCTTTTGCGATATGGATGTAGTTTTAAGTGAACAGAACAGACAAGTGAAGCAATTTGTTTTTGTCACCCCCAAAGACAAAGAGATGCCGGGAACAGTGTAGCAAAGCAAGTAATCAAATTGCTTTTCCCATCCAGCTGTTTGGACATCTAATTTACCACTTCGCTGTTTGCATTGCTTTAGTTTTAGGGTTTCTGAAAGACCAAAATGGGAAAACCTCATTTCTTAAAGAACTGCAGTATAGTATCCAAACACTAAAAAGTGTAACTTCAACCTGCTGCCTCGGCTGCTGTGTTACGGGGTAGGAAGGAGGCGGGAAATCTCATTTTGTAAGAGCCCCTTTTACTGAGGAATGTGGTAGTGAATCCTCCCTCAGTTTTATTCAGTTGCCTTTCATTTTGTCCCTACCCTCGAAGCTCTTTGATAATGAGCTTTTGTAATGAAGCATTTTTATTGTTTTTTTTTTATTTTGGGATAACTTGGTGCTGATCTTCCTTCCCTCACCCGCACCGCTGCCCAACAAATCACCCTTTAAACACCAAAGACAATGGTTTTAAATGCTTACAAAATATTTTACTGTGGAAATGGGTCTTGAAAGTTCTTTGATGTTCTCAGAAACTCAGGTCACGATTATGGCTGGGATGTTTCAGGTGGTCACCACCTTTGACTATTCATCTTCAGTCTCGACATCGTCTTTGCTCTTGCCTTTTCTTCCCAGTCTCCTGCATGTGGGGAAATCTTGGGACCTCAGTGGGGACTTTGCTTGGTGCATAGCAGTTACCAAACTTGCATATTTAACACTTTTCTATGGATTTGGTTGTAAAGCCAGGGTTTCCACACATGACTGAAATCACCAGGTCTTACAATGAATAGACTGACCAGTTTGCAGGCTTAAAGCTAGTAGGTCCTCCCTGAAATGAGTGTGGAGGTGGGCGGAGCGGCCTCTTTTTACCCTCAGCAGCGGTACCCAAAGTTGTGCATCACTGCCATTTGCAAAACATGGTCACCCTTGGAAAGATGTTGTTTTTAAAACACTGGCCATCTCTGGCCACCCACGATTGACTCCTGACCCACACGGACTGGTGCAAAGCACTTTGGAGTGTGTTTATTGGACACTGCAGAATGCTCCAAATCAAAGAAAGAGGAGAAAAGCCAACATTTGGAACTCCCTAGTGTGCGTGAGGCTGTTCAAATTAGATGTATTTAACTGTGTCTCTCTTGCCTATTATGAGGTGACGCTAGGGTGGGTAGAAATTGGATCAAAAAGGGAAGTCTTTACCATGGTGAAGAGGATAAGGTCCTGAGTGCTGGAAGGGAGGATAAACTGTTTCTGTTGAATAAATGTGACATTTAGACAACAGCCCCCTTGCACATCGGATCTGGTCCGGTGGCGAGAGTGGGTGTTAGGTCAGCACACATTTGGAGGTGCCTGTGGGCCTTGAATACAGGTGGAAGTTTGGGTGCTGAGATGGCTAAAGGATACCTAAATAACACACAGAGAGACACCGCTTTTGGTTGACACTGACTTAACCTTTCAAAAGTGTTAAACTTTCATTTAAAAAACAGAATCATTCCTTTGTAAATTCGGTCAGGAGAAGCAGTGCGCTCTCGTCCTGTGCAGTGTTGCGGCCGGCGGGTGGCACGCAGATTGGCTGGAGTGCAGGGCCCCGCGCGGTGGCCCGGGCGTGCGCGCTCATCGACGGATGGATGCCCTTTAAGTCTAACTTACTCGGGGAAACACAAGGGTACCATAAACAGAATCTAAATTATATGTTGGGCCAAAAAAAGTTTGCCAGACGTAAGGCACTTTGTGATGGAGCTGTAAGAATAGCTTGAGATTGGCTCAGTCTGTTTTATTCTAGTTAAGCCAAAGCTTAATGATCTGAGGAGGGACGTCGTTTAGGCTTGAAGCATCAGAATACTGTTTGTATATGTGTTGTCTTCCTCTGTGGGAGAGTCTAAGATTGCTGTGTTCTGGTAGATAGTGAAAGAAATGCCAAAGTTAATAGGCTTTTTTTTTTTTTCCCTGTTTAAAAGAAAATCTAATGGTGCCAAAAAATATTTAGGGTATTTATTGAAAACATCACTCTTGCATTTCCAACAGTCTGGGGCTGTATAAAAGTCAGACTCTTCTACTTGCGTGTGATGATACCACAGAGCCACAACCTCCCAAGGCTTAGCTTTCTCTAGCTTCCTGCAGGCCAGGGGCACAGGATCCACTGACCACTCCACTCCACAGCAAACCGCCTGTCTTGTTTTGGTTCTACCTCACTTTTGGCAGAAGTCATCTACCTCATATTAGCATCTGACGGGTCTCTGAGAAGAATAGTATTAAACCACTGGGGAATGGGTGGGAGTGGGAAGCTACCTCTAGAAGAAAATGTTTTCATGAATCCAGAACCGATTTCTCCCAGGAGAGACATTTCATTGACCTTGAAAAAGAAACTCTGAAACCAAATATTCCTATACTCAGGCAAATGTAGTCAGAAATCCAAGTGTTCCTTCCCAGCCTGGCCCCCCGACTCCCCGCTAGGAATCACGCACACTATTACCATGTTTGTTGTTCAGTATTATGGAACTACTGGTTCATCTGACCTGTTCGAGGACTTCACTGCAAATAAAGACCTTTAGGTCTCTTTTTCTCTTCAAGAGAACAATGTTTTATCTGTATTTTGAACGTCAGCAGGCATACTCTTTTAGGAGCAATTCTAAGGGTCTGGTTGTTGGAAACGTCCACTATTTGAAGGGAATGAGAATCGTTAGACTCATGATTGTATTTGTAGCTCTTCTGGACCCAGCAGGACCGTCATCACCTTCACCACGGTGACATTGCAACAATCACTGTTTCACTGAGCAGTGACTGGTAAAGTGTGTGTTGCTCTTTTGTGTTTAATTTTTTTTTTTTTTCCTACCAAAGGTAACATGTTGACGGGTTGTTCTTTTCCTCTGCTTGTTTATTAAATACTTGATAAAGTTGAGAAGCACATTACATGATATACTGTATTGCCTCTCCGCCTTTTCTTCCCCTAGTTAATTTTTGTTTGGGTTGTAGGAGAGGGTCCTAAGACCACTGTAATTATTGTGAATTGGGTTTTAAATGTCATGGTGAAGAAATACCTCAATGATGTCTATTTTTAAACTGATCTTACGGGTTAACAAGCCAGCCTGGTGGGATGTTTTC